AGTTATTTTTCAGCTCCCTTTCCTTCTGTATGTGCCCCTCTCTCCATTTCTTGTGGTACCAGGGATTGAACATAGGACCTTGTGCTTGCCAGGCAGGCACTTAGGCTGCTGAGCTATTCCCCCAGCCAGTCTCTCCATTTCTTTTCTTTTCTTTTTTTTAAAATGTATTTAGTACAGAGTCTACAGGGTCTCACCACACAGATCACACTCCTAGTGATTCTCCTGTTTTCAGTGCTGGGATTACAGGCATGTGCCACCATGCTCAGTCTCAATCACCATCTCAGCGCATGGCGAGGGGCTGGCAGGGTACACCAGGGGACTGAACCCTGCATCTGCCTAAACAGGTGCTCTAATCCACCTCATCTCTCCATTTCTTAAAGAAAGAAACCCATCAGTAGAATGAAAAAGCAGGCCACAGAATGGAAGATGGTATTTGCTTCTATATTTCTGCAGCTAAGGGCTAATTAAATGAGGTCTATCTGTCCATATGTAAGATTCATTCAAAAAGATAATGACCTAATGCAAAAAGAAGCAAACCACTAACAGGGACTTCAAACAAAAGCAGATGTCCAAGTGGCTGCTAAGTATGGGAAGAGATCTCACCATAAACAGCTTTCAGGCAAACACAAGCATATTAGACCTGGAAGGGGCTTCAAGCCAAGACTATAGTTAACTGCTCTTGCTCTGCGTGCTGCCTCTGACCCGGAACCCCAAGTGGGAAGCAGAACTTGGACCTGGACTAGTTAGTCCACCCTCCCTTTGGCCCCACCCAATCTCACTGCCCAGGCTGCTTGCAGAGCCGCTTGGAAGGCCACAGATATTTACTGAAGTGGGAGCCAGGTTCCTCCAGACTGGAGCTGTGGGAGTAGGAGGGTCATGTTTGTGTCCCAAATGGACCACCTTGATAGGAAATGACATGAAGCAGCCCTGGAACTGACTGAGTGGTTTCTGTGTTAGGCATGAATTTGGAAAGACAACATGGGGTCTCACGAAGCTCACCATCGCAGCCTATTGCTCACCAAGCACCAGGCCAGTTCTAAAAGTGTTATGTGCGTAAACTGATTTAATCCTCCCTGAAACGCCAAGGTAGCTACTAATATTATCTTTTTTGACAGATAGGAAATACAAACTGAACTGGTACCAGCGGCTCATGCCCCTACTCCTGGCAATTCTGGGAGGCTGACGCAGAAGGATTACAAGTCCATTTGGCAATTTAGTGAGACCTTGCCTCCAAATTTTAAAAACAAAAATTTGTTTAAAGGGCTAGGGGTGTAGCTCATCATGTAGGATTTTCAATCCTCACCATTGGAAATAAAGAAAATAAACTGTGACCTTTAACTTGTGCAAGAAAATCTGCTAGAAAATACGATTATCCATCTATAAAACTGCTATACAAAATTGCCTGAAGCTCATATACTCCGGAATTTTGTAGGCAGTCAGTTCCTACAAAACACATTGGCAATGAGTATTTCTTACCTGTTACTGGTTGATACATTGTATCAACTAGAGAAATTTATAAGTTTAATTAAGTGACTCAGTAGAGAGCCAGGATTCTTTGTAAACATCCTCATCCTGTGCAAGAGGAGAGCCCCCGACATGGTGTGAGTTCTGCCCCGCCAGCGCAAGGTAGCTTGTTTATAATATAAGGAGGGGAGAGAGGCTGGCTAGAGGCTAGAGCTGCTGCCCTTCCCTTTGCTCTTTGGTGTTTTCTGCTGCTATGAACTGCTGTCTCTGCCATGTGCCACTATGCCTGGGAGCCAGCCCAGTGTAGACTGAAACCTCCACAAACTGTGAGCTAAATAAACCTTACCTTCCTTAATTTTGGGTGTCAGGTTTTTGTCCCAGCAATGAGAAAAAAGTAACTGAGACAACTTGGAACCATTATAATACCTAAAAACTCTGTATGTACATTCTCCTTTCTATCTTTTTGGATATAAGGAAATACTTTTTCCAGTGGGGAAATGCATGGTGGGGGTACAGGAAATTCCTGGAGCCAGTTGTGGTGGTGCACATCTATAATGTCCCCAGGAGGCCGAGGCAGAAGAATCACTGGACCCAGCACTCACGAGGCTGAGGCAGGATAGTTGTGAGTTCAAGACCAGCCTGGGCTACAAAGTGAGCTCAAGGCTAGCCTGAACTGCACAGTGAGACCCTGTTTCGAAAAGACCAATAAATAAATTTGTACAATGATCTTCCCCCCCCCCAATGATTTAAAAGAAATGAATAATCATAGTAATGAATTCAAGCATCTGGGGGACAAGGTGGCAAATTTACTTTTTCCTCTTTCCCCAGTCTCTTTTTGGTGGCACTAAGATCAAACCTAGGAAGGTGAACTACATCCCCAGCCCTTTTTATTTAATTAAATTAATTAATTAAGATAGGTTCTCACTCTGTAGTCCAGACTAGCCTTGAACTCACTAGTCCAGGCTAGCCTCAAACCGGTGGTTGTCCTCCTACATTGGCCTCTGAAATGCTGGATTACAGGTGCCCCCCCACTATATAGACTGCCCAATTTACTATCATCCTGTGTCCGCCTCTCAAGTAACTGGGATTACAGGCATGAAACACCTCATCCGACATTTCACCATGCTTATAAATAAATTATTGAAATTAAAAAATATAGATAGATAGATAAATCTGGTCAGGGCTTCTGCTTCAAAGATGGTTCAGATTAATGAAGGGCCGACAGGTAGGCACTGTCCCATGCAGGACGGGAGACCCCCTCCACCTCTCCAGGATGGCCATTTTTGGAAACAGAGTATCGCTCTGTAGTTCAGATTCGCCTTGAGCTCAATATGTAACTCTGGCTGGCCTCGAACTCGCGGTGATCTACCTGCCTCAGCCTCCTGAGTGCTTGATTCCGGCGGGTAGAAGCATTTTTGACTGTGAGGGAGAGAGGGAGGGGGGTACAGGTGTTGCGCGCACCTCGTCTCGCCCGGGGTGGGGCTGCCCGAGGCTTACCCGGAGCATCTGCGCTGGACGCCCCGCCCCCCGGGTTTAAGAGTCCGCGCGCGTCCGCTGCAGGGGCTGTGAGCCCCCCCAGGC